CCTGACTTTCTGAAAAAAGTAAAAACTTGGCTCTTTGACCAAGCTTTTGCGAATGCTGCAGAATAGATAACATGAAACTATGAATGATGAACATGGAATGGCCAGAAGATGTTACTGGAAAACGATTTTAACAAGATGACATCGGTGACTACATGTTTTAATGTTTTTTTTATATTGTAATTTGACTGTTTTTAATCACACTTTTATGAATGCATGGCATCGAATTGTGCCAATCCGTAACCCGCCTTGAGTCGTCATAGGGTTGAGAAAGGCGGGCTATAAATGTTGTAAATAATAATAATAATAATGCTAGAATTTGCTCTAAATCAAAAACCTAACCCCAACATTTCCATCATTTTAAAAGTCTAGATGAAATATTTGGCAAGGATTCATCAACCGATTGATAGTAGACCAAGGGTGAGGTCTGGGGGATGCCTGTCACAACTGGCCCATACTTTTGTGTTCCTTGAAGCTTCCAACTAGTCCCCAAAATCCTCTATCTATCTATCTATCTATCTATCTATCTATCTATCTATCTATCTATCATTTTAGGGTAGACATCCTCAAACTGTGGCTCTTCAGCTGTTTGGGCCTCCAACTCCTAGATTTGAACATGCTGGCTAAGGCAGTGGTTCTCAACCTGTGGATCCCCAGGTGTTTTGGCCTACAACTCCCAGAAATCCCATCCAGAGTACCATCCAGAGTACCATTTCTGGGAGTTGAAGTCCAAAACATCTGGGGACTGACAAGTTGAGAACCACTGGGTTAGAGTTTCTAGGAGTTTGAGGCCATAAAAGCAAGAAGACCACTGTTTGAGGATACCTCTTTAAGGGCATAGTTTTGAACAATTTTAGCCTGAAACCCATGTAGTAATCCAGGATTTTTTTTGGCTGGAAATTGTATAGGAACCCTCTCTCTATATGTGTGAAAAATAATGAAAACACTCCCACCTCACATACTCAGTCATGAACTTCTCTAAAAATCCTCAATTTCTCTTTATAGTGGTTCTCAAAATGATTGACAGGGAATTATGCAACTTTGCATTCAGTTGCCATTTTCAGCAGAAATACAGAGGAAAAATAAGAGATATCTGAGTTGATATGTGTGTATGTGTCAGAGGGATGAAACCCTGGGGGGCTCACAGGAAGAAGCTTGTCCCCCCGCCTCCAGCATCCCACCTTACAATAGAGCTTGTGGCTGCCTAATATTCACACTGCAGTAAATATCAGTCCCAACTTCCTTTTACTGAGACGAGGATAGTTTCGTATGTTTAAGTGAACAGAATTGCTGTCATTACAACCAGTTTCAGCCCTGAGCATTAAAACAAAGCAGCAGAGGTTTCATACAGAGTAAATGGATTGAGGGGAGTTGCAAATTCCACTTCTCAGTATTTTGCTCCAGGCACATCTCTCTCTTCCTGGCCTTCCTACCAGAATTGAGTCAGGAAAGGAGAAAAACGCCTGGAGCGATTGAGCTGGTATCAAGAGGACGCTTTGTGCTGCTGTTATTGTTTTGGCTTTGCTTTTTATTGAATGTTGCTTTTTTTTAAAAGGGCCGATGATTAAAACAAACTGAACTGAACTAAACCATATGCAGGAAACATCTTGACACCGCGGAGCTTGTGAATTACTGATCCGCCAGGTGGGACTGGATCACGTGTCCTGAAGAATGTCTGAGTCTGGTCTAAGTCTCTTACAGAGAAGACACAGCCAGGACTGTTAACAGCGGGCAAGCTTCCAGCATCCATGAGTTGTCCAATATTTATTTCACTAGGTGGCATTTCTTAATCTGGTGCCTTTAGGTTTTAGCTTTAACTTGTGTAAAAATGTTACCATCTGTCCTGAAGATGAAGCAGATGAAAAGTGGAAAAGCAAAGGCCAAGAAAAGTACTGCCAGGCAGTGAGTTAATTCATTCAGATGAAGTGATTTAAGAGGCAGCAGCTGGATTGGGCAAAGGAGGTCTGTTCAGCCGACCATCAGGGAGCAAGGAGGATGACATTTCTATCCACTCTCACCCGAGACAAAGAATTAAATTAGAGGTCCTGTTTCTGATTGGCACAGCTTCACTCACTCATGGAAGAGGTGTTTGGAAATGTCATTGGAAGCAACACCTGATCTGGCTCTAAGGATGTTATCACGTGGACTTTTAGAATCATTGAACCATAGAGTTGGAAGAGACCTCGTGGGCCATCCAGTCCAACCCCATTCTGCAAAGAAACAGGAAAATTGCATTCAAAGCATCCCTGTCAGATGGCCATCCAGCCTGTTTAAAAGCCTCCAAAGAAGGAGTCTTCACCACACTCTGGGGCAGAGAGTTCCCTGCAGAACAGCTCTCAGTTAGAAAGTTCTTCCTCATGTTCAGGTGGAATCTGAACATGAGGAAGGCCTTGTATGTTGGCCTTCCGATGTCTACGACCCGAAAGCTTCGTATTGTTCAGAATACGGCAGCCAGGTTACTCACAAGAACGCCCATGAAATGCCATGTAACACCAGTGCTGCAACATTTACATTGGCTTCCAACTGAGTGCCATGGCCTGTATAAGATGCTAGTTCTGACTTTTAAAACTCTTTACGGCCAGGGTCCATTATACCTTAGGGACCGCCTCTCCTTCTCCCATCATCGGAGGTCACAACGACCAGCCCAACGTGACTTACTCCATATACGGGGTCCTAGAGAAGTGCATTTGGAAAGGACCAGGCGCAGACCTTTTTCTATTTCTGCCCCTGCCTTGTGGAATTCCTTGCAGTCCTACATGAGAGTCATGCGTGACTTAGGGCCTTTTACTCTCACACTTAAGACCTGGCTTTTTACTAGAGCATTTGATCTCTGTTGATTTTTAATTTTTGTATGTATGTATTTTATCTTTTGTAATTTAGCTGTAAATCGCCTGGAGCATTCTCGGATGGAGGGCAATTAATAAGTTATTAAATGATGATGATGATGATCTCCTTTCCTGTAATTTGAAGCCATTGTTCCGCCTCCTAGTCTCCAGGGCAGCAAAAAACGAGCTTGCTCCCTCCTCCCTAAAACTTCATTAATAAGTGGGGAAATGTCATTTCTTGATGGGAATTACTATTATGCATAATAATAATAATAATAATAATAATAATAATAATAATAGTACACTTTATTTATAACCCGCTACCATCTCCCCAAAGGGGACTCGGTGCGGCTAACATGAGGCCAAGCCCAAAATAATACAACACAAAGTAACAAAATACATCATAACAAAATATAATATATAAAAATTAAAATATAAAATAACAAAATCAACAATATAAAACAGCATATTAAAACCAGACACGGAGGGCGGGCCAAATGTGTGAGGTGAAATGTTAAATAAGTTAAAACCCTGGATGAGATAGGGATAAAAGTGCATTTGTAGGAAAGGAGCCCAACAGGGAGGAACCATGGGATTTAGCCATTTTAGGGAGCGGGGGGGGGGGGGGGGGGGGGGGGGGGGGGATGCTTTAGTCTGAGGGCAGCTGTAGACTAAGAAAACCAGATGGGTTGAATGGTCTTTCTCCAAAAGTACAACGGAAGAGCTGGAAGATTGAACTACTTGTAGCAAGCTAAACAGATCACACCCAAGTTATCATGAATTTAACACGAATTGAAGGCTCCTTAGCCACAGATGAAAAAAGCTTACCCTCATATGATATTGTCCTAAACTCATTGCAAACAAATCTGCAACTCGTGGGGAAGCAGTCACTTTTAGAAAACATTTTAGGTCTGTTGAACAGACATTCAATGAGACTTCAAAGTCTTTTCATCCTTGTGATAATCTCAAACCACTTCTGCAGGGCCGCCCCTGCGCAGTCCACCCAGTTTCGGTTTGCTGAAGCGGTTCTTGCTGCGATACTACCCTCCCAGTGCAGAATAATAGAGAAGGTTATTCAAGCCAGACAGGGAAACTTGGGTGTGAGGGGAAGGGACGGAAGTTGGGGGCAAGCTGGGGTGTATATATTCTGTGGAATTAATGTAGTTTGTTACCACTATTAGCAGCCCTCCTCAGAAGCAAGCCCTCCTCCTCCTCTTCCCGTCCTCCTTCCCCGCAAAACAGTAAATCCGCGTAAATTGAACCGCGAACTAGCGAGGGAACATTGTACTGAATTCCAGCCAAAGAAGATTTACTAAATTATATCCAGCAGGTTATCTGTCACCTATAGCAGCCTTTTGTTAGTATTGTTTGTGCAATACAGAATTTATTTATTATTATTTAGAAGTTTTCTATACCGGCCTTCTCACCTCAACGAGGGACTCAGTCGGTTTACAGCATATAAGAAACTACAGTAATATATAGGTACAACAAAGTGCAATGTCATTACATATTAAAATAGTACACTGAAATACAATAAAAACATCATCATCACAATTACCTAAGCCAAGTCATCAATCCAGTCATAGTCATAGTCATACTCAGTCACAGTTCATCACAGTTCAGCACAAGGAAGGAGGTTATAGGTTCAATCCTCAAATGCCACATTCCAGAGCCAGGTCTTTAGTAATTTCCTGAACGTCAGGAGGGAGGGGGCAGATCTGATCTCTAGTGGGAGGGAGTTCCAAAGCCGGGGGGCCACCACCGAGAAGGCCCTGTCCCTCGTCCCCACCAACCGTGACTGCGAGGGTTGGTGGGACCGAGAGCAGGGCCCCTCCAGAAGATCTTAATAGCCTTGATGGTTCATAGGGGAGAATCCGTTCGGAGAGGTAAACTGGGCCGGAGTTGTTTAGAATAAGCTGCCCAGTCTTGATAAATGCACTTTATAACCCCGTGAACTTGTTTGAACAAAAATATAGGGATCAGGAACAATAACACAGTTTCCTCATTGTTGCTGAAGCTGCGGTTTCTTTCCTCATTATCCTCAAAAACCCGAGAAGGCTGGAGTTTTTGCATCCACAGCTAAAATGGGAACAGCATTCCCGATAGCAAGAGTCCAAAGAGAGGGAAGCATATAATCAAGAAAAATAACTGCGGGAAAAGATAACTTATTTTAATTACCTTCAGAATTATACAGGGATTTGCTCTGGTGTACATTATAATCCCATTGCTTTGCAGAGTCCGCAGACGCAGAGCCAGCTTGAATTCCTCCTTCTTGCTATTTTCAGAAACCCGGTATTTGATGTAACTATTCCCAGCAAAGCTAAGGGAAGTGTGTCCTGAAATAACCATTTGGAGAACAGACATAGGCTTTTATTTTTCCATTGTGAAATAAAAGACAGGAGATTATCCTACTGCTTGCCAAGAAAAAAAAAGTTAATTAAGGAAGATGCATGGTTAACAAGGCTGATAAGGCAGAATCTTTTTTTAAAAAAACCAAGCTCATATTCGGCAGATTAAAACCCTGTCTCGGTTGTACATGCACCTTACGTTAAGGGAGATTAATTCACTAATAAGTGGGGAAATGTTGTTTCTTGATAGGAATTACTATTATGCATAAAATGAGATTGAACTACTTGTAGCAAGCTAAACAGATAACAACAAAATTATTATTCATTAGTTATCACTTTTGCATACAGGAGACTGGGCCGATGCAATTTGTGGACCACCAATTCAAATATAGTACAGTAACAGGGGTATAGTTTTAGAAAGGGATGCTAAACAAAAGCATTTCTCCCTCCATAAAAATTCCACTTCCCACCACAACTGACCTTTTCTTTTAGTTACCAAATTTCCAGCGGTGCATTCACCGAAAGCATGAGCATAATGCAGTCTAAATTGTTGAAAATAGCAACCTTCTCAAGCCTCCACTAGTTATTTGTTATGTATATAATTCAAATTGCTTATTGTATTATAAACATATGTACTGATTTGCAGTTTTCCTTAACTCTTTTGTTGTGGGAGGGTCTGCAGACCATTTCATCAGAACTGGGATTGTTTAGGACTCAGACTCCATTTTAGAAATAAGTTCAGTTTAGACTTCAGTAGGAATCTATGTATGCCTCAGACGTCAGTAGAAACTGTATGCTTTAGAAGTCAGAAGGTACAGAATGCTGTACAGAAGCCATTAGACTCCTTTGGACTTTCAGACTAGACAGAGACTCTATAAGACTCTCAGAACAAAAATATGCCTTGGACTATGGACTGTTGATGATGAGAAAGATGTACTTTGTTACCTACACAGAAAAACTACTTTAAATCTATTTTTAAGTGAGATGGGTGGGGATGAGGAGCAGGGCCTTCTCGGTGGTGGCCCCTCACCTGTGGAATTCACTCCCCGGGGAAATTAGGTCATCAACATCCCTCCTCTCTTTTAGAAGGAAATTAAAAAACATGGATTTGGGACCAGGCTTTTGGGTAACCTGGCAGATAGATAAAGGACAATGACGACTAGAATTGATAGGAACTGACAATGTGGAATGAATTTACGGATTCTGAGCTTACAGCGAACATTGAGCATGAGATTGGTTTTATTGATTGTGATGTATAATTGATTTTTTAATTGTTTATAATTGCTGTTTATATATGTTTTATTTTTATTGTTTGTGTAGGCATAGAATTGTGCCTTTTGTAAGCCGCCCTGAGTCCCCCCCTCGGGGGTTGAGAAGGGCGGGGTAGACGTGTGAGAAATAAATAAATAAGTGGATTGACCTGTATGCTGAATACATGACATTTGTGAGTAAACCAACTATGTTACTTTTAAAGAAGTATACTTATTTTTGTCTCTTGAGACCATGATTTAAAGGCAAATATATTTTATAGGAGAGTAGATGTTTCAGACAACTAAAACAATACTTTTGAAACTCTGCTATATACATATGTGTGTGTTTTTGTGCATTGGCATATCTTTGTCCCTAACAGTTCAAAGACATATCAATGTACATCAGTTTAACAGCTGAGAAACCCATAAATGCCATTTTCCCAAAAGGTTATGACTCTTAACAGGTCATGCTTTTACCAAGAGGTTATGACATCATTTTCAAAAAGATTATGACTTCTAACAAGGTCATGTCTTTTCAAAGATCATAAAACCTTCAAAAGGTTATGGAGATTTCCATTTTCCAAAATAAATATCCAATGCCAAGAGGGCAGATACCACAGGACTGCAAATACAGCAAATATGGATTCTGTGAAGGGTTTTCAAGCTTTTACTTTCTGTAATGCTAAAAATAAAACAATGCAATGTAGAGATTCAGGAAAACCATACTTTAGGACCTAGATCTGAAGCTATTTGATTCTCCTTAGTAGAGATAAAAAGTTGGATATTAATAATAATAATAATAATAATAATAATAATAATAATTCTCTTTTGCCTGTTTACTGTCTGACATAAATAACTAAATTCAGGGTACATCTACACTGTAGAATTACTGTAATGCAGTCTGAGAACACTTTAAACTGCCATAGTTCAATGTTGTGAAATCTTGGGGATGGTAGTTTTACAAGGCCATTATCCTTCTCAGGCAAAGAAGGTTGGTGCTTCACCAAACTACAAATCCAAGGATTCTATAATATTGTGTCATGGCAGTTAAAGTGGTGTCAAGCTCCATTAATTTTACAATGTAGATGCAACCAAAGTGTAATTCAGTTTCCACTGTGGTATTGTGCGTAGAGTGATGGTGGCTTGGGAGATCCATGTTCTACTCCTCACAGAGAAATGAAAGGGTGACTTTAGTCTCATCACTCACTCTCAGGGACCTACCTTAAGGAAGAAGAGATTTATGCACACAAACTTTAGCTTGGAAAAAGTAGGGTGTAAATGTAACAAGTACACAGTTCTTGTACTTTCTTTTTCTGACCCAACAGAGAATTGTTTTTGTAAATATCAAGGGTCATTTGAAGTCCTCCATTCATCTGAAGCCTCCACTTAGGCTTAGGAGAAAAAAAATGGAAGCTAACAGGGATCCCAAAAGCCCTGGTATGGTAACTACACACCATTTCAATCTGCACACTTATAGCAATATTATTCCTACTTTAACTAGTCTGCATGCATTCTGGAGATATAATTCTTCCCTAATCATTCAGGAAGAGTTTTGAATTAATGCAATTTGACACGACTTTAACAATGGAATCATGGGAGATATAGTTTCATATAATAATAGTAATATTTTATTTATTATTCTTTTTTATTTATATATCTTTATAAATAAAGATATATAAATATATTTAGCTTCCTTTGCCAACAAATATTGACACACCACCAAAATACAAATCCCTGGATTTCTCAGTATTGAGTTCCTTCTCAAAGGAAACAATGATTAATTTTAGTAATTTCCGTTGAACTATGAGAAAATATTTGAAAACCACAGTTTTCAGAGTCTAGTTTTTAATATATGGGGTTTATTCTGTGCACATGCTTATTTTAGTATAGAAATATGTTTTCTGTAGAGTAAATGCCATTTCCTGTCCTGTTCTGTACAAATCGTTCCTAGTTACGGGTTTTTCTGCAAAGGAAGAAGCTTTTCATACACAGGAAATATTTCTGCACAGAAATATAAAAAATGTTGTTTCCTGCATAGGAAATACTGGTTTCTGTACAAAATGAAGACATGCGAATTTTGTACAGAAATCTCAAACTGCATAGATTCTTGTCAATCCACTGTTCTTCTCATCAGGGGTACCTGGCACTTGAAAAACATGTTTTAAACCCGTTTTTGAAATGTTTTCTAATAGCCTTTAAATCACTATTGCATCTGATGTAACACTAGAGTTCTCTGGCTGTGAATGCTTAGTCAGAGACTTCTCCCTATACTGAAAATCCCAGAATTCCATAGGATGTCGCTATGACTGTTAAAATGAAATTATGGAACTATAATTGTGGGAAAGGGTTTCTTAATAAAACACTCGAGCTGATAGAGTAAACTTGTACCTGAGCACTCTCCAAGCTTTCCAGGAGGGCACTGGCAGATGAAAGGCCTCCGGTTGATTTCGTAGCCCACACACTGCATATCTCCTGGACAGGGCTTATCTGTGCATGGATCGCTCGATCCTGGACACAATCCTCCTGTTGTACATATGGAATAAAAGTATTTCCATGTTACCCATTTCATACAGTAAAAGCTTCCTATAAGCAGTACCATAGTAGAAAATTTTGAAGTGTAGGTCTTTTATATGACTGTCCCTTCCCCTAACCCTAACCCTAAAAGAAGTTCAAAAATACAAGTGGTTTGGTTGATAACAAAAAATTAGTATCTATTTACACCTCTGATAGGTTTACCTTAGGATAGATATACGTCAGAAACTCCCTGAAGGCACACAACAACTAGAATATATAACACTGTTGTTTTAATACAAGATGTAAAGACATTGGTCCTTCTTTTAGTTTATATAACATGGTTATTTAGTTTAGACAGGAAGCTTTGGTGTGGGCTGGTCCATGAGGTCACAAAGAGTCAGAAAAAATTGAACAAATAAACAACAACATGGTAATTTTTAACAAGTTAGTTTTAAAGTCTTGAAAAAGGCTTTCTCTCCAGCAGAGTCTAATTTCAAAAACCGATTAGACCAAAAAAAGGTCCTCTAAAGCAGCATTTTTCAACCTGGGGGTCTGTACCCCGGGGGGGGGGGGTCGTGAAGAGGTGTCAGAGGGGTTGCCAAAGACCATTAGAAAACAGTATTTTCTGTTGGTCATGGGGGAACGTTTGGCCCAATTCTATCGTTAGTGGAGTTCAGAATTCTCTTTGATTGTAGGTGAACTATAAATCCCAGCAACTACAACTCCCAAATAACAAAATCAATCCCCATCCCGACCTCACCAGTATTCAAATTTGGGCGTATCGGGTATTTCTGCCAAATTTGGTCCAGGGAATGAAAATACATCCTTTGTATCAGATATTTACATTACGATTCATAACAGTAGCAACATTATAGTTATGAAATAGCAACGAAAATAATGTTATGGTTGGGGGTCACTACAACATGAGGAACTGTATTAAGAGGTCGCGGAATTAGGAAGGTTGAGAAACACTTCTCTAAAGAAAGGTTTAATTGGAGGGCAAACATTAACTCACTGCATTTGAAGACTGTCATGGAGTAGGCTGGTACGTTTATGTTGGTTAAAATTGTTCTTTGCTTTATATACTGTATTGTTCTTTCATGGTTTTTTCCCCACTACAAGATAAGGCATATGCAGTATGCATAGGAGTACGTTCATGTTTTCTTCCTCCTCAAATTATACTCTGGCTCTCCAAAGAGACCATGAACTGGCCCTTGGCTTAAAAAGTTTGGACATTCCTGCTCTAGATCCTCCAACATCCAGTAGAAGATCAACTTCTACTGAATGTTGACCACAGAATTGCACTGGAGGGCCAACAGATTCCTAGTGAGGTGCTTTCTTTAGGAATCCTTAGATAATCTAGTGTGACTATGATCCCTTGATCCTTTAGTGATCAGCTTCAGCTAGAAATTGCATTGGAAGACTCAGAAATTCATAGACATAACATTTTTAAATCAAATCCGTGAATAACCAAATTCACAAGTCAAACCTGCAAATGTAAAAGGCAGACTGTAGATGCATTCTAAAACTAAGCTGTAAGAACTGTAATGAAAACATATTACATGTGAGCACAACATCAAAATGAATATGACAGTATTGATTAGAAGAGAATGGGATGAATCTGGGCATAGGGAGTAGGCTTATGGTACATACTGTTGGCCGCAATTGGCAAAAGTAAGAAATCTCATGACATGCGTTAAATTGCACTGTCTAGAAGCAACTGATAAACGGGAGCCGTAATATATACATCCCACGGATAAATGCATAAATTCACTCTGACAAGATTAAATAAACGGCAGCAGCGTGCAATTTTGCTCATTTGGGCACAGTCTCCGGCGTCCATAAAAAAATCATGCAACATCTGATGGAGCCGTGAAAACATATGGCATCAAATTCCATGGCTTTTAAGGAAATTAAACCTTGATGAAATGAATGTAAGGAAGGGTGGACTTCTATAGCCATGCACTATTCCCGGTGGGGCTACAAGTAAGTTCAAAATTAGGATGCACATTTGGAAATACAAGGAGGATGAAACTATTGAAGACAAAGGAAAAAGTGGAAAGACAAATGTCCCATGAATTTCATGTTAGCGGCATATGAACACATCCTTTGGTCAGTCTATCAATTCAGAAAGACTCCTGAAATAATATGTCAATGTATTCCAACAAAACACAAAGGGCTACATATATTTGATAGTAAAGAATAGTAACATGGACAGTGAGATGGGGCAGGACTTTTCCGCGCTGTATCTAGATGGCAGAAATTCCTTCCAAATGAGATCATTCTGACCCAATCTTTATTAGAAGATGGTTAAGGATATTGTTACTCTTCTAAGCTTTTCATGTAATTCAGCCTGACAGTATGGATCTTTCCAATTTTGGCTTTTTTCATGCTCCATGCTTCAAATTTTAATGACTTTTAACTAGAACGGTGTCATAGCTTTAATGGTGAACAGTGACTCTGGAGACCAGGTTTTGATTCCCCAGTTAGCCATGGAAGCCCACTTAGTGACCTTGGCCAAGTCACACACTCTCAATTTCAGAAAACCCTGTGATAGGTTTGCCTTAAGATTGCTGTTAGTCACAAAATGACTTGAAGTCTTTAGGAACACTTTTTAGAGTTGGAAAAATGCATGTGTTTTTATAAATTAATTTCTATTGACTGAAAGTACATCCTGAGTAACAAAACTAAGTCAGTTAATTGTATGTGTTGATTCTAAATGGTTACTAGAACAAAATTATGCATAGACATCTATCTATCTATCTATCTATCTATCTATCTATCTATCTATCTATCCCCAAAGTATAATAGATATGTTTTTTTTCTCTTCAAGATGAAATATGTCTGGGAATAAAGGCTTCAAAATTTTACTCCTTTAGGGATATCCCATAATCCATAATCTACTTGAATATTTGGGCTTCTTTAAATCAGTCCCCTGCTATAAAGAATGTAGTCAACCCTCTGTAAACATGGGTTCTGCATCTATGGAGAGAACCAATCATGGGTCCTTTAAAGCCCTACATAGTTTGGGTCCACGTATCTAAAGTATCACCTTCTCTTGAACACTTAGGTCTTCTGGGGGGTGGCTACTCCAAATGGCCAAAACCCAACTGGCAACCATCACCCCGAGGACCTTTTCATCAGCCGCCCCAAGACTGTGGAACGACCTGTCAGAAAAGACCCAACAAGCAAATGAGCTGTCAGAAATTTAAAAGCCACCCAAAGACCTATCTCTTCCAGCAGGGCTAGCCAGCCAGTTTTTAAGCATGAATTTTAAACTTGTGTCCTTTGTTCAATCTCTGTTTTGTGTATTTTAATATGCATTTTATAGAAATATGCTTTATTATGTATCTTTTATACAGTAGAAATACATTTTAATATGTGTATTTGTGGTATTTTAACAATGTTTATGTGTTTTAATTGTTCTGTATCCCACCTCAAGCCACAAGGAGAGGTGCGTTAGAAATAAAATAATAATAATAATAATAATTATTATTATTGGTAAAAGATATTTAGGAGGAAATTGCAAAAACTAAACTTTCACTTTGCCACTCTTCGAGCACTACACTGATATACTGGCATTTTCTGTTATAGCTTTCCACCATTTCACAGATCCTTAGGCTCTCTTTGGCAATTGTTTTCTTGTCATTTTATATGCAGGACACAATTTTACTACAAAAATAAACATAAATGACAAGAAAAGAGATTCCATAGGACAAATTACTTTACTGTCAGAATGGCAGGACAGTGAAACTGACTGCTTTGGAGGATGCTGGGCTCTCTTCTTTTGGCAGTCTTTCAACAGCGACTGGATGGGCATCTTTCAGGAATGATTTGATTGTGTATTTCTGTATAGCAGGGAACTGGAATAGATGCGTTTGTGGTCTTTTTCTCCTCTAGAATTTTATGATTATGCTGGTTATATTTAAGCCTGGCTATTATGCAATAATCTAATGCTTGTTTAGGAATCATATTTAAAAAGCGGGAAGAGGAAACATGATGATACAAAGATTACCATAAATTAATTCTTATATTGGAATGAAATATTAAGTAGTAAAGCTTTTGAAAACCAGGTATAGATTTTTCCCCATTTACACCAAATATAGACCTTTAATACTGGAATATTGTGTCACATTCTGGGCACCACAATTGAAGAGAGATGTTGACAAGCTGGAATGTGTCCAGAGGAGGGAGACTAAAATGATCAAGGGTCTGGAGAACAAGCCCTATGAGAAGCGGCTTAAAGAGCTGCATGTTTAGCCTGCACAACAGAAGGCTGAGAGAATACATGATGAGGGCCATGTACAAATGTGTGAGGGAAAGTCATAGGGAGGAGGGAGTAAGCTTGTTTTCTGCTTCCTGGAGACTAGGACGTGGAACAATGGCTTCAAACTACAAGAAAGGAGATTCCATCTGAACATGAGGAAGAACTTCCTGACTGTGAGAGCCGTTCAGCAGTGGAACTCTCTGCCCCGGAGTGTGGTGGAGGCTCCTTCTTTGGAGGCTTTTAAACAGAGGCTAGATGGCCATCTGTCAGGGGTGCTTTGAATGCAATATTCCTGCTTGTTGGCAAGGGGATGAACTGGTTGGCCCATGAGGTCTATGATTCTATGAATACACCAAAATGATTTTAAATGATAAATCTAACTGGTTAATTGACAAAAGTTTGCATCTACACACCTATGTAGTATCTTTAAACAGGCATCACATCTATATAATAATAATAATAATAATAATCTTTATTTATACCCCGCTACCATCTCCCAGGAGCCCCCGGTGGCACAGTGGGTTAAAGCACTGAGCTGCTGAGCTTGTTGATCGAAAGGTCGCAGGTTCGATTCCGGGGAGCGGCGTGAGCTTCCGCTGTCAGCCCTAGCTTCTGCCAACCTAGCAGTTCGAAAACATGCAAATGTGAGTAGATCAATATGTACCGCTCCGGCGGGAAGGTAACGGCGCTCCATGCAGTCATGCCGGCCACATGACCTTGGAGGTGTCTACGGACAACGCTG